ACCGTAAGGCAGGATGTTCGAATCCACCAGGCGCACTGCGTGGGCAAGATGAGGCTCTCTACTCCTGTAAAGAGTTAAAGTATTGGAACCCTACAGCAGCAGTTCTACCCTGTCCTACAGTGTCACGATGAGTCTTCATTGACTAGAGGGCAGTGAGTGAGAGGTGGATAGGGGACAGCAGGTCAGGGAACGGCAACTTGAGAGAAGGCTATACTCAGAGATGATGGTGAGTGTGAGAGAGTAGATGGAGAGGAGTTTGGAAATGTCAGTCTAGGCTAAACAGCAAAGGGTTTGTAAGCAAGAGAGATATTAAAATTTTTTTCAGCTGGTATGTTCCTGGACACCTCCCTATCAATACAGCTCTGCAGGTGGGTGGAGCCCAACAAGCTGGCTGCGGGCATGGCCTGGGGGAGGGAGATTGGGTTTGAGTATCAGAGGAGGCCTTTTAGGGGTGTTGGGAAACTGCTCTTTATCAACCTATTCTGAAAGAGTTTAGCTGTGGAAGAGCAGTGAAGACTAGGTCACACTGAGTGAACCTCGAAACTGCTCTTTATCAACCTATTCTGAAAGAGTTTAGCTGTGGAAGAGCAGTGAAGACTAGGTCACACTGAGTGAACCTCGAGGGAAGGTTTCAAGCCGGAAACTGACTTGCCAATGTTGTTTCTTCAGGAACAGACTTCGGATAGCAAAAGTTAAAGATGATAGATTGAATGGGTATGAAAAGTAAAATACAGGGGGATCGGTTTCAATAATCTGGAAAAAAAACTGTTGAGTTCTTAAAGGAAACAGCTGCTAGGGGGTAGAAGTGAAGAAAGATTTAGGAGGAATCATTTTACAAGAATTGGCAATCAGTGGAATTGATTTGGGGGTGAGTTTGATCCAGGGGGCCCAGCATCCTAGCTTGAGTCACTGTGGAGATGGGTACCATTGTATGGGATAGAGGGGAAAAAAAGATGTTTTAAGGTTTGCTGCTTGTTTATGCAATCTGTTCGTTGATTGGTTAGCTTGATGTAATTAAATTTCTGAGAAGACTCGTGTTTATAAGCTGCAGGCAAAACTGCTAATATACTAACTTAAACATATCACAGCAAAGCTTTCTCTCTTAGACACCCACAAAGAACTGGGGAAAGAAGAAGTTGAGGGGATGTGCAGCATGTGATGAGCACCCCTCATGTCCTTTCATCTAATTGTAGCACCGCATCCATATTGTTTCTGGACTCGTGGTGACTGAGGCTTCCGCCTATGTGTGTAATGGTTTGTCGAACTGCCTTCGTGGAACCGTCTGCTGACCCCACAGACAAATAGAATCACATGGTTTGTGCCACTCGAAGCTACACAATAGATGAACCTGATTTTTGTAATTTAACAAAAAATCCAATTTATGTAACATGTTAAAAGAAGCATTATCAGCTTGTTTTCTCCTCAAACGACTGTAGCTATTAAACTCCTTAATTACTTCATTTTCACTCTCAGTGTAACATTAGCAGTTTAGCACTTCAAGTACAAAAATGATTAATGAGCCCGAGAATTCATTCGCATACATATCACTTTGCAGTTTGACATAACCCTGGAGCCTGTTCTCTGTTCCAACCAGAGCCACACTTCCCTAGCAAATATCTCAGTGCATAGGAAATGTCTGCTCATTGCAAGCCATGCCTAATTATAGTCAATCTGTCCTGTTTCTTCTATAGACATAGAAAAGACAACCAATCAAATACATTCAAACATATTTAACTACAGAAGCCGAAATACTCATTCTCTAGGGAACACCTTACTTTTGTCACTGTCCCTTCGAATTCAGTCATGCTTTGAACTCAGCCCTCATCCATCTAAAAACCTAACTTTAAAAATATTTGGACCTGCAAACATTTCCAGTGTCGAGATTGACAAGTACGATTTGGGGAAATGATGAGAGTCAAGGTCGCATTGTCGATTCAAAGATGAAGATTTACTTGGAGCAATTGTCAAGACTATCTGCAGGGGGCTATTTCTGTCTAACCACCCTTGACTTGACTGGTCACATGTCTCTTTTCACTCTACTGATTTGATCGCCCCCAAGGTGCTCTTATATTGCTGGCTTTGTCCAATCATTCCTGAAGTTTAAAACGTTTATGTGTTTTTACTCCTAATAAAGGTTCAGGCACTGGAGTAGCAGAGCCCATTCACTAACTCCAAGTTAGAAAAAGCGAAGTTTATTAGAAGGCACCAGCAGGGAACCCGACGGCTATGCAGGCTGTCCTGATAGAGCCCCACCTGAAATCAGAATACATAGAGGTGATATACTTTCTACTTTGGAAGTAACCCCCTGAGGGAGTCACATATGGAAGTTTGACATTAACCCAGGTTTCAGGAAAATCCTAGGATGCAATGCTGACAGAAATAATAAGGTTCCTCACATTTTAGGAGAGTCTCAGGATGTCTGTTCATCAATAAGCAGGTAAGGTAAATTAAAGAGGATTCTCAGAGTCACGTAGCTCTTCCAGAAGACATCTGCATCCAACATGTTTGCCTCTGAACAATGCAGACAGTTTTACAGCTTCCAGAGAGATTGAGGTGGGGGACTTGGAGACCACTGCATAATCTGGGCTCATTGCAGGAAGTTAGATTATGATGTGGCCAGTGGTGGTGTTTTTCATTGCTTTCCCTTTGTTTTTGTTGTTGTTTGTTTGTTTTGCTCTATGCTATGGAGTTAACCTAGGACTGTGTGCTGTTGCTGCCCCATAATCCTCTTCTCCCTGCTGAGTCATCCATTCCCCGTAAACGCCATGTTGCTCTGGCTCAGTACCGAGTCAGCAAGATTAAAGGAGCTCTTGCTCCGAATTCAGGGAACTGTGCTTGTCAGGCTCGTTGCCATGATACAGGGTTGTAGCTGCTAGAAGGTAAACCGGGCGACTCCCAGGGGTCTCCCATGTGCAAGGGAATTGCAGGACTGTTGGCCACTTACTAAACTCGAAATCAGATCCCCAGATGGTTTCCATCATGTCGATAAATTGTATGGCCTAAATACATACCTATTTCAATTTGATTTGCAGAGAGTGATATTTGGCATGGTGACAAAATCGCTATTTTAGCCACTGATTTGGCCAAATATTTATTGGAACAGATTTTTTAAAACACCATGCAGGTATTCAGATGGGGCACACATAGCATTACCTCACCACACAAGTCTGCACTGCAAACAAGGCCTGGGGGTTTGGGCGTCACTGACTAATCATCAGCCCAGTGTGATTGCAAGGCAGTGCAGACCACTAAGGGCCTGGCACACTGCTCCCAAGCATGATTCTTTGGTGATGAGAACTATCTGTACTCTTTAACTTGCTTGATAAGCACGGCTGCCAAATAAATACAGGCCACCCAGCTCAAGTGTAAATGGTTTGCCCTTGACTGCTAATCTGCAGGCTGGTCGTTCAAACTGCCCAGTGCAGTCATGCACACAAAAGGCTTGATGATGTGTTTCTGTACAGATTACAGGCAGAACACCTCTGCGGAGCACGTCTACTGATTAACCAGGAGTTGGAATTGACTCCGCTAGCAACCGCCTGCTTTCGAAGGCCCCAAGTCCTCGACATTGACTCAATGCCAGGGGGTTTGAGGCTTTTCACATATCTCGGCTCATTCCTCTGAAATTTAAATTAAACTGGGCTTACTATATTTTTATTTGCTAAACCCAACAACAGGAGCCCTGGTAGCCTAGAGGTTACAAGTTAGGGTGCTAACAGCAAGGCCAGCAGTTTGGAAGCCACTCCTCGGGAGTAAGACAAGGCTTTCTCCTCCTGTAAAGAATGACAGTCTCAGAAACCCACAGGGACAGTTCTACCCATTCCTGTAGGGTCACAATGAGGAGACACTGACTGGATGGCAGTGGGTAAGGGAGTAAACCCTAGATCCAATTTCTAAGTGGTGCTTGATAAGCAACAGAAATCATGTGAACCAGTATATTTCCTGAGGTGGGGTGTGTGTGTGACTAATAAGACTATTCCTATACCCCCAAATGTCAAAGAAGTGGGAGAGAATGGGGTGAAAACAAACAAGGAAAAATAAGTATCTGTGGATTGACACTGAAGGTAAGGCTTCCTGGGGGAGCCCACAGGCCATGTGGGTGCCAGGCTTGACCACCTCCCATGCTGCCTGTGACCCACCCATAACTCTGTCCTATCCTGTGAGATGTCCTGGGCTTGAAATCAAGCTCCAGGAGGGCTCCAGCTAGGCTCTGGCTAGTAGCTTTGCACACTCAGAAATGCTGAATTTATGGCACCCTGGGGAACTGAGGGGGAAGCAATCTGTACAATCATATGGTACTTGTGTGGCTTTCGAGCAAGCAGAAGAGAGATGGGGCTTTCTGCTCCCATCAAGAGTTGGAAACTCCCCAAGCGCAGGGATACTCTGTCCCCTAAGGGCACTATGAGTCACCATCAACTCCCTGGCAGTGAGTTTGGTTTGGGAGCTTAAACAGCAGCGCACCTCAAGTATTTGTGGATTGAGCTCCTAAAAAGAATTTGCCAGGACGCCATCATATAAATAGAGTGGATACTGGGAAATGCTCTTCAGAAGCTTTCCTTTTAGATAAGATTGTCAAAGAAAAATCCCTAAATACGCTTCAAAATAGGTAGTCCCGAAGAGAGATGAATTATATTTTTAAGAAGATATTTTATCCAACACTGGATTCCAGCATACACTTCCCTAGGTTCCAAAGACCAGGCATGATGTGAAATAAGCGTGCTAGAGCAGACAGCTGTGCATGTGTATGCACAGGACTCCCCTGGGCTCTTGCTAAACTGGACTCCTATTCAGTAGATCTAGAGTGGCAACATGCGTTCTCAGTAGGGGCGCCGTAAGAGCGAACCAGTTTGCAGCTCTGATCCTCGCCTACAGCGATGTATGTCTACCTGATTTGGATCTTGTGTGTAATCCTAGTAACCAGACTGTCCTCTTGTTATTGAGAACTAATGTTTGTCTATTACCCCTATGCTAGTAACTTGATCCCTTTCTCATTCTCCCAGATGCCTGGTGCAGAACATCTTTCTGGTTGACTGCAGAGCCGACTCCTTCTCTCCTGGTGATTGATGTTCTAACACCATCTTTACAGTGGCAGCCTTAGCATTTCTATGTAGGTAGGTGGTGCTTGGGAAACTGTTCAGATGGGGGTGGGGGAGTAACTTGCCTGGAAGCTATGTTGGCATTGCAGTCAATGTTTCCCCTGAAATTTGTTATGTATTGGGGGTGGCTGGAGGGTAGTTCAAGAAATTATTAAATGGGATTTTTTTTCCCCTAGCCACTTCTTGGCAGTGTTCTTATTAATTTTGTATCCTCAGTTTAGACAAGGAGTCCCTGGGGTTTGAAGGGTCCAGTTTGTGGACAACTCTGCCTTTCTCTTTCCTGGTATGTGATGGAATTTCAATCGCTTTGAAATGGTTGAACCAAACCCTACTGAAAACATATTCATCAAAACATGCAGCTGAACAATCATTGAAAAGCCTCAACCATTTTCTGGCATGCAAAGAAGGCTAAATGAATACTACCTGTTTGAACTGACTTATACAGTCTTAAAAACCCAGATCTTCAGAGACCCCTGGGGATGGCCGATGGAAGGAGAGGGTTTCAAAAGGTTCGTGAAAAGATGGAATTTCCCCCACAAACTTTTTCAAGGCTCTTTGTCGTCAGTAAATATGTCTTGAATAATTGCCTAACAGCTATAATTCCTTTCGCTAGATTCCCAAGAGCCATGTCCATCCAACTTTGGGGGATATCCTGTTACTCCAAATTGAATTCCCTTGTTGGAAACTACTTTGGTATTTATAATAGGCAAGAGACAACTTGGACCTTCAATAGACTGAAGGCCAGGATCAGCATGGTTTAATGAGGCTGATCATGAGGCAAACCAGAATGGACTTTTTTTTTATAGACCAGTGATATAGCTACTTAGTTTCTCTGTGGCTATCTTATACAATTAAAAAAATGAGGATGACTATAATACTCATTTTCTGGCACAGTAGTTATGAGGATTACATAAGGAAACTTCAGTGCTTGACAATCAGGAAACACATAAAAATTACCTTTATTGTTATGTTGAATGAAGATGGACTTCATCCAACATACTTTGTCTATGCGGTAGATCAGTGATTCTCAACCTTCTTAATGCTGCAACTCTTTAATACAGTTCATGTTGTGGTGACCACCCAACCATAAGATTATTTTCATTGCTGCTTCATCACTGTCATTTTGCTACTGTTATGAATTGGGCGACCCATGTGAAAGGGTCGTTCAACTCCCAAAGGAGTCAAGTCCCACAGGTTGAGAACTGCTGCTATAGATAAATGCAGAGCTTTTAAATGCTGAGTCATTCATTCAATAAAGTATCTCCTAAGTCCCTACAAAAGGTGACCTGGACTAGACATTTATTAGAGGCTATGATCGGGAAAATGATGCATGAAAGTTAAGGATGGCTGGGGGAGGAGTGGGCATGGTTGCACATAGAGACATCACTGAAAGTACAGTCTGCTAAAAAATGAAGGAATTAGAGACAAAAATAAGAATTAGAGTTCATTACAGTTCAGAAAATGAAAAGGTGATCTTGGAGACATACCTGAGGCTGGAAAGGGCTGGAAAGGATACAGTCTTAAGAGATTCGTATTGATGCGGCCTGACCAACTCAAACTCACTGCTGACTCATAATGACTTGTTGAGTTTCTGAGGCTGTAAATCTTTACGGGAGCAGAAAACATCATTTTTCTCACACCGAGCAACTGGGGGCTTAGAACTGCTGACCTTGTGTTTAGCAGCCCAACTGGTAACCAGATACATGGAAAAGGCTCACCAGACACATGGAGAGACCCCCCCCCACCTTTGTTCCCCTTGTACCTGTAGTATGTTGCCATTAAGCATGTGTGCTGCTATTCTGACTGCATATTTACATGCAAGACTCCAATCTAGATAAAAGGTGTATCCCATTTGCTTCTGAGAATGAAGAGTTTCCTGGAGGCAGGGTTTTCAGTGCTAAGACAAGACTGCATTTTAGTCTTCGTGCCTCCTCAGAGCCAGGCAGATTCTGATCTTTTAAAGAATCTCAACAAGTACTAATGACATTAGTACCAGCCAGAACCACCATGTCTGTTCTGTATAGTCAAGAAGAGACTTTGATTCCTTATAAGGTGAGAAATGAGAGGCAAGGCTTTGAACTGATTCACTCCACCACATCTTTCTCTGGTGGAGCAAGTGAGCGGTAAGTTTGAACAACAGAACCTTTTGGTGAGCAGACAGGCACTGAACCCTTGCTCCACCAAGGCTCCTTGAGTCAGTACATCTGGGGTAGAGCTGCATATTCCAGCAGGGGGGGCTGAACAGTTCCTTTTCCTGGAGAAACAAGAATGGCTTGGCTGAAAGCAAAACAAGGAAGGAAAAACAAAAACAGAAACTCAGCTTCATCATCGAATTTCTTAACAAAAAGCTGGATTTTAGCTCTAATCTGCACCTGTTATTTTATACTTCAGGTTTCTTCCTAGACTTTTCACAATCTATCAGAATTGTCCCTTGTATTCCATTTAGGAGAAGGGTTGCAGTGTAAGGAAGTCAGAACAAGGGTTGGGATCAGAATAACTAAATCCCAACCCTGGTCCTGCCACGTCTCATAAACTGAAGTGAGTCACTTCAACTAAGTAAGCCTTATTGCCTTTAACCCAAAACATACACATAATGACAAGCATCTGGTAGGAAAGATACTCATATGACAACTTTTTTTTTCCAAATTTGTCTCTGATTTCTCTATTTTGTTAATCATTTCAAAGAACCAACTTCTTGTCTTGTTGAATCTTCTTCTTTTTCTGTTTTCTGATCCCATATGATACATTTTATGAACCAAAGTCATAAACCTTTAAGGAGAACATGTATTCTAATGACCAGTAATACAATAATGATAATTCTGTGTTGATTGAGATGACTCAAATCACTCACTACCAAATTGTGAAATGAGAAGAACTCACAATTATGGAAGTTGGATTTCCAAATGCATACTTAAAGCGAATATGTCTAAACATCTACAGCAAACCTCTGTGGTCAAAAGCAATGAAAACAAGTAACATTACAATTCACACAATGATTAAGCATTTAGCTCCAGAAACTACCCACACTGGTGCAGTTTGCTGTAGTTACTCATGAACTATAACTATGCACCACCCCCACAAGTCTTCAAAAGACCCATTTACAAAATAAAAATTTTTTTTAAATACGCTTGTTTCAAGTTATGCTGGTTTCAGATGAAAATTTAATCTCAAGGGCCCTACATATGCTGCAGTGGGATACTCAATGGGTTGCTAACCACAAGGTAAGCAGTTTGAAACCACCTGCTGCTCCTTGAGACAAAGATGAGGCTTCCTATCCATAAGGGTTATAGTCTCAGAAACCCACAAGGGCAGCTCTGCTCTGTCATATAGGGTCATTAGCACTCGGAATCTAATAGATGGCAGTGAGTTTGAGTTTTTTTGCGTTTCAGTTTTCTTTGTAAACTGTACAAACATTGTAATTTTCTTAACAACACATTTGCCAGCCAAGAAGATCTAAGCATATCTAATAATAGAAACATTACTACTAAATTGAATTCAAGAATAACTTTTATGCTTCGCAGTCTTTCCTTTGTGAATATAGCCAGAGTTGGCAGTCTAGTTCTCCTGTTTCTCTTAAAATTGATGATAAAGTTATTAGAACTTTCGCCAATTGGCTGCCATGTCTACAAAGGCACTGTGAAGAGAGAGAAATCTGGATTTCCATCCCAGCTGGGAAGCATGGTCATAAAAATCCTTCATACCCACCATCTGGGCTAAATTTCGTAAGAAGAGGGACTTCTGCATGAACTAACCATAGAAGCTTAACACATTTGGTCAGTAAAAAAAATTATTTGGTCTGAAAACAACTAAAACCCTCGTCTTGCAATTACGTGCTCAGCTAGTGGTATTGGACTGGAATCCAGGACCACCCTACAGATGCATCCTATGGGGAATTTTTCAGTAGAAGGAGCACTGGAGTTGCTGAACTGCTTTCTCTGCCTAGCCAATTGAAAATGAAATATGATTGAAACCAGTAGGTCTGCACTGGTATTTATTTATTTTCCAATGCTTGCATAAACGAGTTTTATAGTATTCAGAGCATAGTGTTAAATTGATTCACCTTTCTCTGGATGAGAATTGTAAGCAATTTGATTAGCTTTTCTCTATTTTCGTCTTCTGACATGTTCTGTTATTACTAAGAAAAATTACAGCCCTTTTTCTTACTTAAAATAATTTATATTCAATAGTGTTTTTGTGCCTGCATAGAGCATAATCTCCGCAGGCTTAAATATCAACATCTGTAACTGTGCGGGTACGATAGCATTAAGAACAGTTCCAAAGACAAATTACACTTTTAAATGTTCATGATACCGAGTTTATCCGTCAGCCCTTATAATTGAACTTTGTAAACCAGACACATTCCCTTGTGCTTTATCTAGTGAAGCAAGGAAGGAATGTTTTTTTTTTAAAAAAATAGCATTAGGATGGTTTTTATATGACTACTACACATGATAAATGAAAGGAGTCTTGTTACCGGAAGAGCCAGTACTTTATTGATCATGTGCTTCAGAGCTGCTACATGAAGGGAAGGAAAGATGAAAATGAAAAGGGATGATCTTCTTCCTGGGAAGCATTTTCTTTTACGTTTGCAAATTTTAAAACAGTATTATTGGCATATAATTCACATATCATACAATAGTTAAATCATATTAAGAAGGATTGTGTGATCCTCACTACCATTAAGTTCAGAACATTTTGTTCTCTCTCATACTCACAGTGGTTTCCATTTCCCCCTCAACCTTCCCTGCTGTGCCCCTGGGTAATTATTGTTCCAGTTACTGTATCCATAGCTGTACTTATCCTGGATTTCATACACAGAATATCATGCAAAACAAAAACTAAATAGTACTCAAAGAATGAAAAAAAAAACAAAAAAAAACACCCCAAAACATAGCAATGGCAAAACAAATTAGAGAGAAACCCCAATCAAAAAGAAATCAGAATTAAAAAAAATCCACAAAACAAAACCTGAAGCAACTTTAAAATGGATCAAAAGAGAAATAAAACAGTAAAGT